ACAAGGAAGAGAGACCTGTCGCACCTCATTTGGACGAAATTTGCAAGCGCATTGCAATTATAACAGCTAATGAGACTTGTATTCGGCAGTAAGAGCCCTAGTCCAAACAGGAGTTGATATAATGGGTAAGAAAAGGGAAAAGGCCATCAAAAAATTTCAAAGTGGAAAAGTCGGTGTCGAAGAATATGGGTACCATTTTCTGGGACAACACTGAGTGCTGTTTCTTCAAGACAACGCACCTGTTCATACCACTTGGGTAGCGAAGGATACTCTAAAAGCTACTGGATTTACAGAAATCGAGCACCCATCCTACAGTCCGGACCTTTCAAATTTAAGAAAAGAGTTACGAAAACGAAGATTTTCAGACGACGGCGAGATGAAAGCGGCCGTAGAAAAACATTTGTATTGTATCTAATAACAACTATGGTGTTTGTCTTTGTTGTCAATGTTTGGTTATGGAGTGCTTGGAGCTTATTTACCTCACTGCAGTCGTCATGAACACGTTTTTCTGTCACTTGCTCGTTGCTGGTGCAGTTTTTTGTTTTCTCTTTCTTTCATGCTCTTCCTACATCTAGTCTTTATACAAATTATTATTAATATAATTGGCAATAACTATGCCAACAATCGCAGAAAAATTGTTGCGCCCTGCGCTAAGTAACGTTTTAGTTGTACAACAACTGAAACTTCTCATTCATAAACATTTGTACTTAAATGTGCGTCACGTCGTTGTATCGTAATGATTGAGTGCTCGAGCATTTGAAGGAAAAAATTCACTACTGTCGTGAATATTTTTCATTTCCCAGCAACTGCAGCGCTTTTATGTGCTATGCACTTACGCTTACTCACCACTTACCTTTCCCGAAAATTATCCTTACGATGCCACATTACGTTGTTCACATCCGCTGCCCCCGTTCATGTGCTGTGAGTAGCTTGTGTGTCATTGTTTGAATTTGCTTTGTTACAGCAACACGCTATTTTTGCAGTCGCAAAAATGGCTTATGTGAGTAATTTGACTGAGAAAAGCATTGGAGCAAGGTGAAAAAATCGAAATAATGACAGGGAGGTGATGATTTAACAGCTGAGGTGCTGCCCTAAGACGAATGCGTAATTGCAAATTTAAGGAAGTGTATGTGAAAGTTCTTATTGTGATGTTGGGATTTTTCAAAGTACAGCAATTGAATATTTCTGCATATGGCTTTAAAATAATATTCCACATAAAAATAAACTCATGCTAACAACATGCTTAAGTATGTATATACTTACATAGAAACATGATAGCATATTTGTCTACGCCAGTAAAAAGGAAGAAGGAGAGGCAAGCGAACAAATTAGAGGTTGGTGAGCTGAGCTTTTCTGCAACAAAGAGTATTAGAAAAAAGTGTCGCAGATGGGGACTGGAAATAATCAAGAACGAAAAAGTTAATGTGAAAAGTCCATTGCCCGCAGGTTATCGAAAGTCGACCGCAGTTGGATTTCTGGGATAAAATGTTAGGGTAAAACATAACAGAGAAAAAGGTAATATTTTAAAAAGTAGTAACGTTACTTCATATGCTGAAATAAAAACTAAACACCCAAAAAGGTGGAAATAATAAAAGGAAATGAGTGTCAAATGTAACGGTAAATATGGAAATGAGTTCTTTTCTCCAAGTAAATAAAAAAACACACCATAACCAAAAAGCTAACCCCTTTTAGTTTCTATTTAACTTTTTCTATATACTTTAACGCTTGCCGTAAGAACCTTTAAACTTTTCAAACGTTTTTAATGTGTCGACAGGAAATCGATACCTAATAAAAGTGACACGTGATACGAGCATAACTATCAAATAGTGGCGAAGTCAAAACAGAATTTAAATGCTTATTTGCGTGTTGTCTGTAATGCATAAATATTAAACAAAGATATATACATATGTATATGTATAGGACATACGAACATATATATCTTTACATGATATTGCTGGAATCCTTAACTGATGTATTTCTATTAGAGAATACCGGAAATTACGGGGTATACTTGAAATAACGAAATTTATATTGGAATTGCTCTTGCGCCATTAATTCTAACTCTAGATTGGCTTAGTATTTGTTTGAAAGAGAGATCAGAAATAAAACCGCCTGGACTGATGGAAGACATCGTTATATTTTTAGATGAAGAATGATTGTATCTATTGTTCCTTCAACAGTCTTCAGGGAAAGACTAAGTTTCTGTTGAAAGCAATTTATTAAGAAATTGACCAAAGATTCGGATGTAATAGGAGTACTGTACCAGGTGTACCGGAGTCAACCTTACACATGATTATTTGCCATCCCGGCGAATTCATAAAGGTGAGAGCAGGAGAACAAAAATAACAATTACCGTGCATTTTGTTTTTGTTTTCAGTGTAGCAAATTGTCTAATTCATGACCAATTCGTACCATTCGCTTTTGTCAAATTGAATTAATAATTCAAAACCAAAGCAGGTTTATAAAAGGTGAAGTTGTCCCATCATATGTTTGCTTGTTCTTGTTTTCGAATATGCCTGATTTGTTTTGTTTACAATTATAAATTCATTTTGAAATTTAAGTTACATATGAACAAATACTCAAAGTGTTAGCTGGACTATGAGAGAGCATAGGATGAGTGAATCACGTATAGGGCCTTTTCCAACTAAAAATGTGATGTGTTTTATTTTTCCGAATATTACTGGGCTTCCAAAAATATTATAACGAGGAATTATCAATATATTGTAAACTATTCACCGACTGCAAGCACATTTTAAAATTTGATTAACGTAGTTCATGCATTTAATTTTTGAAATGCATCAATATGTACTTCTTATAGAGAATGGAAAACCTATTTAAATAAGTAATAAACAGTCTTAAAAAATTTTGAATACTGTTGTTATAATTTCCATGTAAGTATATATATATATTGTTACGATTTTACTAAATCAACCTCGATGATTTTCTGAATCCTTCGGGTACGATCTCTGGATTGGTAAATAAAAACTCGCCAACTTAATTTGCAGTTTCTTTCGTTATAAAGAATTAATCTAATGTCCTTTATTTTCTCAGTAATTCACAATTCAATTATAATGCACTTTACTATTTACAATCACTAGCATCAACTTTCACAATTTACTTTACTTAAATGTAATCTCCAACGCGTTTACTTTACGACTTTACTGATGTTAACGCCAACCAGTTCACTTTGTAACTCACTTAACTTGGCAGCTGAGTGTCCCCTTATATAGCAGTCGGCAGCTCGCAGACGAAAGCGTAGAAGCATCGAGTTGTTCGCTATCGAAGGTTCTTGTTTTATCGTTTCTAGAATGTACTAGTTATCGGCTTCTCTCTTTCATCTGACATTCGCCTCGCATTTTCGCAACAATATATATATATATTGATGATTTGCATATGTATATATGTATGTATATTTTAAATCGATGGCACACCCTTACATACTTGTGCAACTTAAAATTTAGCTTGTTTTGGTAATAAACAATTTGATTCATTTATATATATAGACTATTAAGAATGGCTAAAAACAGTGAGATGGTAGTAACAAGGTTGTACTCGTATGTGCATTAAACTGGTGAGACAGTTTTCAACTCCCATCCGAATTATCCCACACTTTTAGACCGTGACTAAGATACGCCATATCTCAGACATATATCCGGATATCACAGTTTATAAATTTGCGTAGTTCATCAGGATTTATCTAAAGTACTCAAATATATTATTATCAGTAAACTTCAATTTATTTGCATTCATATTACCTACAATGGTACAAGTTAAAAAATTCTCCATAACGTTGCAGACACTAAGTAATCTTTACTATTACCACTTGTGCATATTTTTCAACGCTTAATTCTAAAATAATTAGTCGATATGTTAAATTCTGGATATTCTTGAGCCACATAAAAACATTATTCAGTATTATTCTTTAAAATTTTATTTTTGTTTAAAAAATGTTTATTTACAATTTCTGGAATAACGATCGATATTGTTGCATAAAAAATTAGGGCGAAATATGAGATTTTGCAATTCGATGTCAATATTACACAAACAAAATACATAACGCAAACTGAACGAATTCATCTTTTGACATTTCGACAGTAATTTTACACGAACAAAATACATAGGATTTTTGTTTTTGCATTCTTAATAGTGCCGTGTGTGAATTTGCCTTGTTCAAAACAATTTAGAAACGATAACTTTAAAAATCAAAGTTTGCTTATTCAAATGACATGAACAGCAGTAGTTTTATTTTATAAGATGTTAGGGAATTCGAGAAGAAGCCCTTCTATCCAAAGCATGTGCAAGATGCAGGTTTACCTTTGTGAATTTAAAGATACACACAACTCTTGAAGTTATCATCAGGCTCACATCTTTGTCTTTTACCTAAGCTACAGCAGCGACTTTTGCTTATCCGAGTAATTAGATCATCCACTTTGAGCCAATTAGTTTCAATTACTATGCAAACACACATGCGGTATTTACTTACATGTTACATGTGTGAAAATTTAATGATCAACTTTCAGTGTAAGTATATCACGATATACATACTATATAGTATGAAAACAAAGAAAAATTCCAGACAAGAAGTTCTAAATATACAAGTGAGCTTTTCATTAATAATAACTCAACATTGACTAAATATTTATTAATTGATTCTCTGCAATGGTTTTCAGCCAAGAGGAATATCATAAAAAAATGTTCTCAGAAAAGCAGTATATTTGTACTGTGTACTGTTTTAGCGAATACAAAACATGTCGACTCAACCAGCCTAAACGGCATAAAGTAAGATAATTATTTATTTAATTTCAATTTAAATTTAATTTAAGTTTATTTCATTTAAATTTTTTTTATCTTACGCAGATTAGTATTTGTACATTCATACATGTACATACATATTTTATTTTCATAGACATTGTGCGCCTGAAATTTAAAGCGTAAATAATTGTAATTATATATTTTAATAATAAATTGAATGACTACTGTTTTTTTACTTTTTATTCCAGATAACAGTCATCCAGCGCCAAGTATTCGATTTTCTCGGATACATGTGGGCGCCTATATTGGTTAATTTCTTTCATATAATATTCATCATATTGGGATTTTATGGAGCATATCATTTTAGAATTAAATATATAATAACGGTACGTAAAAAATTTTATTTTTGATATGAAATAAATTGAAATAGAAGTGCAAACTCACATTTAAAGCTTGCTTTCTCTTTGCTACCAGATACTTTTCCTAATAATTACATTTATTGATTTTTAATTAGGTTTAAGCATTCATACATAATGTGAATTTTGTACCATTTTGTGGTTTCGCAAAAATAAAATCAAATCAAATGCATTTGAAAGAATTTTTTTCATGAACCTACTTTTTTATTATAAACTTATTATCTTAACATTATATGTGAAACACCACATCATTGAAATGACCGCCTCGCGAATTTTTGAAAACTTTGACTGTTTGTGGTAATTTTCGACTTTTTTTTGGTGTATGTATATTTGGCAGTATCTCAGCCATAACTTGATGAAGGGTGGGTTTAAAGTGCTCAAGTGTTAAAAGTTTATCCGCAAAAACACGGTCTTACGCATAGCACGAAAAAAAGGTCCAATGGTGTTAAATCGCACGATCTTGGAGGCCAATTGACATCGCCAAGACGAGAGATTACGCAATTGGGAAAGTACCCAATTCATGTATGTACGGCGTTGACTTTTTACTAAAACAAAACATGTTTGGTTTGACTGTAATACACGTTTTTTACGTCAGAGGATTTTCCTTACATTTTGTACGAGAACCGTTTAGCTCTATGCTTAATAGCAATTCATGAATGCGAGGTTTGTTGTACAATATGTTGCAATATGCTTCACGTTTCAAATGGCAAATATATTTGTATCAGGGGTTCATTACACATTGTACTCAAATAGTCACACTTTGCATTTAAAATATTGAAAAAAAAAATCATTTTTTATTGATTTCGGATACATTACGTTAACTGGCTGCGTATCACGGCGAAATTTGCCGCATTGCGTGTATTTGACACATATGCAACTGATATTTGTAAGCTTATCGACCAAGGACTTCACCCACATATGTATATGTACGTATATGTATGAGTGTGTGATTACAACACGCAGAAATCATTAAATATACGAATATTTCCATCAAGCACCTAAATGCATTTTAGGCCTCTTTTAAGTGAATAAAATGTCAAACGTTTCTACCGAAAGTGAGTCAACACAAACAGCTGAAACGAAAGAGCTTTTATGCATGTTTCCATTTTAACTTTCGTTTGTTTTTTCCTCAAATTATTTATTTTGTGCAATCAGCTGATAGCTGCCCCAACCGCGCACATTTTTATGTTGAGGGAATCGTTTACAAATCCACAATTGCTTTGTGTTTGCTTCTTATTGTTATAATGAAAGTCTCGTCCTTCTTTACATCTGAATCATTCTGACAAGGAATATATCGAAACTTCCGAAATGATTACATTGGTAGTGACAGTAACGACTGTTAACATAAAATTTTCTGGTAAATTACCGAAAGTGAGTTAACTCACTAAGAAATGCGTGATATGCTAATATTTCCTAGGGAAATATGATAGAGAACGAAGTACGCTCATTGCATAATTGTGACAAATTCGAGTCAAACAACAACAATTAGCTAACACAGAGTGGCTTTTTTCTTCATGCAAACGGAAAAGAAGATACCAATTACCGAAAGGCTATTACCCTTGAAAAGCTTGCCGCTATTGCGCTATATGCATTTGGTTCCTCTGCAGATTACCGAACGGTTGCAAGTTTGTTCGGTGTGTCCAATTCTAGCGTATGCAAAATTGTTAGAGAATTTTGTGCTGCGGCTTGGAATGCTTTGAAGCCTAATTATCTGAGACGGTGGCTCAGACTATTGTAAATGATTTTAACAATATGGGATTTCCACAATGCATTAGAGCGTTAGGATGATAAGATGCAAATAATATTGAGATTTATATTAATATTGTGTATATGTACATAAATAAAATTAGATGGATGTCATATTGAAGTCAAACCAAAGAATGAGGGCGCTGCAGACTACTACAACTATAAAGGATGGTATTCTGTGGTGCTGTTGGCTTTAGTTGACACAAGATTGGCATTTCTTTGACTTACTTAAGTAATAAAATAGATTTCAATTTGTATGTAGGTATAGGTTTCTATATATAAATGTTGGCAGTCCAGGAAGATGCAATGACTCTGGAATTTATGAAAGCTCCTCATTGAAAGCAGAACTATTGCGTTGCAAGCTGCTTTATGATCAACATACAACTGAAACTTTCCTCCACAACACCTTCCACATTCATCGAGCGGTAGCCGCCAACAATTTTCAAATAAAGGTTATGTTGGCGGCGATGCTCCGGAGGGTCCGATTTCTCCTTGCACCTTTCTGTTTACACATGTTCACAAGACAAACATCTTATAAGTTAATATTTAATTTACTTATTACAGCAACTTACTTGTATTTGGACATCAAGTTCTGCATTTTGAACTTAACCTCAACGCCAGTGGCCTCAATCCCCGACTGCGTTAACTCTACCGCCATTTGTTTATATACGTGTGAGTTTTTTCGGCAACCTCTCAATTCCTGTGCTCTTCCTTCCCAGCAATCCAGGAAACTTTGCTCCTCTGTAATGTTCCACTTGCGCCGTTTTGTTTCCATTTTCAGTTTTGTTTACTTTTAGCTGCCAGAGCCACGTATATTTTTATGTTGAGGGGATCGTTTGGAATTCCACAATTGCTTGATGTTTCTTTCTTATTATATTTTTTGAAAGAGGAGGAAGCATTCTCTTCGCCATTTACTTAGTACATGCATTTGAGTTAAAACTAATGCAAAGAAATAATTTTTACACAAAAAATTTCACTATATAAAAATATGCGTGGCTGTGACAGCTATCAGCTGATTTCGCAAAATAAATAATTTGAGGGAACAAACAAGCAGATGTGAAAATGGAAACATGCATACGCATTTTCGTTTCACCAGCGATTGTCCGTTGTCCGTGCAGAAATAATCTGCACTAGCAATACTTGTGCTATTTGAGTTAACTCACTTTCGGTAGAAGCGCCTGACATTTCATCCACTTAACGCAGGCCTTAAACGCATTTAAGTGCTTGGTGGAAATATGCTATTAGACTAAGCGAATACCCCTAATATATTCAATGAGCAAACATCAGACATGTAATCTGTTGTTGTATAATTTAATTCATTATTAACGAACGACTATTAAGTTTGCTAATTTAGTAGCTATTTTCATAATGTTGTGGTTATTTACAGAAATAATTTGAATATTGGTTGAAAAAGTAAAATATTTATTTATACATGTGTGTAAATTTTTTATAATTTCTCAAGCTATCCAGACTCAAAACATCAACCAATGTAGCCACAGAGGTCCATATAATCGATAAGTATTGAAAGATTGCGTCGATAGGATACAAGGAGCTATTATTTTAAAACGCATACTTTTTGGGGCCTGTGTAGAGATGGAGCTAGTTTCTTTTAACCCGCTTTTGAACGGCCGATGGATTTTTGAGACGCGCTTTCATTTCCTGTTAGAAAAAGATTCGACCGAAATTATATTTTGGATATTTGTTGAACAGGATTCGAACCGTGGCCTTTAGAATGGCGTTGTATACTGCTAACCACCAGTTATTGCGGCGAGAGGACATTACACATAAAAAAAAATCTGCTAGGTGGTTTTTTTGTTTTGGAGAATGATAGGATCTTACTTCTTTGAAAATGGCGAGACTGTCACTATCAATTCGGAAAGCTTTGATTGTGTGATAACCGATAGTACCACATGCCACAAGGTACGAGCTCATGTGACTTTATTGCGAGAGAAATATCCAGCCGCGAAAACTCTCGCTTGGCGATGTCAATTGGCCACCGAGGTCGTGCGATTCGACACCGTTGGACTTCTTTTTGTGGGGTTACGCGTAAGATCGTTTTTTTTTGTGGATAAATCTTTAACAAGTGAGCACTTAAAAGCCAACTTTCATGAAGGTCTGTTTGGAAACTGAAAAATATATACCAAAAAGTGTTCGAAAATTACCTATTACGGGTTGAAGTTGTAAAAATTCGCGATGCGGTCATTTGAATGTTGTAGTGTTACATTTAAATGCAATTAATGTAGGTTATTTTTGAAACCGCAAAATGAAAAATCTCCTATATAATGTAATACATACAATGATCATTAGTGGGTATGGCAATTCCGCCAAAAGAGGATATTTCCATAGAAGGTTTGAAAATGATTTACAATAATAATTAGTATTATTTTGTCACCTAGGTATAATTTTCATTATCAAAACATATTTTTTCACAAATTGCAGATTTTCGGTTTGTTTCAACTAGTTATATTTATAAGGCATAGCGGTAGCTGCTTTTTGTGAGGTTAAGTCCCTTTATCAATTTATCAATTTGTCGCATTCACAGATTTATGCAGTAATGGTTGGGTATTGTTAAAATTTATTTAGTTTGGTATCAATATATCTAAAAATTCTATAAATCAGTAATAGCCGCGTTTCTTAATAAGTACATATATGTATGTATATGCGCACTTAAATATTTGTATGAAAGATTAAAAACACCGTGCTATAAAAAGATACAGCACCTATCGCTTGTGTTGTTGTTGATTACGTTTTCCTAAAACTAATTATACATATCGCGTATACCCTTTTGTGCTGTCGATAAATGTGTTATGCGCACAGAGATAAGATAATACACAAACTACAATAAATTGTTTGTAAATTAATTTTTTTTTATTAATTCTATTTTTATTTAAATATTGGGCAATCTGATAAAATGCAACAAGCATAAAGAATTGGATAAGTGAAAAACTATTATTTTATTTATAATTATATGCACTTTAATTTTTGTAAATTCATACTATAAAAGAAAGAAAAAAATAATTTTCTGTAATTTTTTCTATTCTTGCAGTATTTAATATGGGGCTTCATTTGGATTGGTTGGAATGCATTTTTGATATGCTTTTATTTAAATGTAGGGTTATTGGATCGGGTATGTATACCTTGAGAGAAACATTTCTAAATAAAATAAATTAGTAGAGTAAGAGTAATTTCTCTTTTCAATTCGATATCCGCATTTTGGTGCTTGGTGTTTAACTTTTATTAATTTTTAAAATACACGTCCAATTTTGTTCTCTCTTACCACTTATAGGACAGCGATCTGCTAAATTTGGGTACCGGTAGCGTCTCATGGTTTGAGGTGAACGGCTATGGTTGCAAGCCAACATATCCCGTAAATATTACCTCTAATGATCCATTTCGTCCAATAAGGCCTGAACATGTTGATGACTGTCTATTAGATTATACCATAGTCGAAATTATACAATCTGGTGTACAATGTACTTTAGCGGTAAGTATGACATTAAAGTGTATATTCATAAAAATTTTTTTTCTGTTGATAATGAGAAAATTTTACGATTCCGTATTGATAACTTTTGTCCCAAACATTTTCACAATATGTAGATCAAAGCGCTCCACAAAAAAATGTTCAGACAGGCTTTCCTTATTTCTTGAATTGAGAAAACATGAATATGAAAACATCCAAACTTCTGAGCGGTTTTCGAGCTTCTACAATTTTCGATGTGCGTCTTCAGGTTTTTTTTTATGAATGGGGAGGGCTAAATCTTATTCTAAGCCATTCCGAATGGCTATTGTGTCCACGAAACCTGCTTTAGCGTTAAGAATATTTTCTGGAATCATTTAGCTATTGGCTAACTTAGCTAACTTGTAAAACATTTGATTGGCCCACCTTTAGGCTTTGAATAATTGCGTCAATAGATTCAACAGAGATTGGTTGGGATGTTAGATTTAACTAGAGTAGTTTGAATGTTTTTAAAAATCATTCTCAAATAATATGTATATATCAATATGATTTATGTAAATGTGATTGCCTTCAATAAATTACTTTTTTCTTATAATTTTTTCTTTCAGTTATTTGGTATTTTAAGCGCTATATTAATAAGTTATATATTCCTCGACGAAGACGACAGATGTAAGTTAAACTATCTCATTATTATTAATATATTTATAGCGAAACATATTTAACTGAGATTTTCATTTGAGAATAATGAATTAATCTTCGTGCAGATTTCGAATTGCGGACGTGGAAAAGTTTGGCTTTAGAATCCTTCAATGTCACTGTCAAACAAATTTGATAGCCTGTAACCATCTAACGTAATCACTGACTTCGTTCGTCTTCATATTGCCCAATTATATGCAACTCTAAGGCCTCTACAGCAGTATTACCTCTTTTCCCTGTGTGCCTGCGTTTTTCAAAGCATTCATTGCCAACAACGAGCTTTTAATCCGTTTACCGAAAAAAGTAGTGTGAGAAATGTTAAGAAAGTTCGTAAGAGTTTATATACCACGTCATGTAATGTATGGTGAATGTGTACGTTTGATTACCATATTTTTAACTCCATCTGTTTTGGAAAATGTTTTCCAATTTTGAAGACTTGGGTATCTACTTTTGCTGATATGCCTCTGTAGAAGTTAAAGTATTATCCTAAGTTCAATAAGTAGGAATTAGTTGCTAAACTAGCTTATAATTTATTGTCAAATAGGTAACTATGTGTATCCATTTATAGTGAGTTAACAACTGGCTGTAAACTGGTTTATTCAGGCCTTAGCAAAGCATACCAGAACTGTTACTTACGCATATACGGGGTGACATGTTTGTGTGATGTACATATGTACGAGTATCTAAGTACTCATGGACAAAAAAAAACACGTGTTTTCTAAGTTTTTGCATTTCCAGCACGTGAACATATGCACATTTGTAGGTATATATGTATGGATATGTACATATCCGGTTGATACTTTTGACGGGCAAAAAAAAAAAAACGCGGACTCACATTTTACATACGAACGCAGTCAAAAAAAACCAAGAATCCTATAAAAGCGATCTAGTCGAAGCTGTATCCACTCATTGTTTATTACAGACTAATATCTTGACATAGCCTGCAAATTACGCGGGAAATACATACTCCACGCGGATAATAGAGTATTCCAAAAACTAATCACAACCCATACAAAATAATTGGTCCTAGAGCTGGATCATATACTCTACATCTGCATAACATCCGAGTACTCCGTGGAGTACCTACAGTGTATACGAAAACTTGCATTCGAAAAGCTCATATATGTTTTCAGGCTCTTTTCGACCATTTGCTTTGCCCATACTCGATTCCCGCATTCTCCTAGGTGAAGCAAAAAAAAAAATTTATATGAAAGTGCGTTTATGAATTTAGTAAGAGACAACAAGAAAAACTTAATCTTTTAGTAAGGACTTGCAGGCGGCAGCGAAAAACGGTTACTTATGGCATTCATATTTGAATATGTATTACAAAAAGATGGAGAAAAAGCAGAAATACATATATTGGAGATTCTTCCTGCCAGAATCTTCCTAGAAAACAAGTCGGAATCTGCACCTCAAATTATTCACAAAAAATGAAAAAAAATTTACCGTTTAGTAGCCTCAGTGCATCTTGTTTCACCAAATAACAAAATAATAGATAATATAATTATCTTAAAGTTCTTTAACATTCTTTGTATAAATTTTTTATAACTTTAATTTCATAACCAAGACTACTGCTTGTGGGTTTCACTTTAAATAATCATTTGCTTATATTTTATTTATTTTATTTCTACTGAAAAACTTAGTTACCTCTTCATCTCATCTAAATGTGTATGTACAATTAGTAACTTTCCTTTGAATGAACGTTTAGTTTTGAACCAAAAGTGAAGCAAATAACAAAAATGATAATAAACATTTTGAATTCAGTGTACAAAGATAATCTAATTTATTACTTTATTCTTTCAATATGTGTTCCTGATATAATTGATTAAGTATTAATCTTTGGCGGCCGTGATATCCGCCTGGTAAGCATAGCGCGATTGCCATTTTTAAGAGCCTTCGAGGCTGGTTCGACCAACATCTAAAGTTATAGAAAATCAATTTGTCTAATTGCGGTTGAGCCTCGGCAGGGAATGTCAAGCCCTCCGTGTGTATTTTTGACATGAAATAAGACTCCCATAAAAAACCATTTTCCGTGCGGCTTAGAATATACTGCAGATTCGTCCAATTGTTGAAAGACATCAAGACGATACCGCAATGTGTAATATTCTTTCTAGCTTAAATACATAACATCACTTTTTGGTTTAACTAAACGTTTCGCATGCTTTTTACGAACTGAAATATCATGGTTATTCGCATATCATACTTTTCTTCTTAATATTGATGACCTTAGAACTTCTATAATATTGATAATGCATGTTAATAATTACCAATTAAACATTATTATTAATAATCACTTAAAATTATTTGCACATATATTTTTTGATTTATAAGTAACATTAAAATTCAATTTCACTTTTCATTTGCATCCATTTTTTATATATCGAATTTGTTTCCTAAAGATGTTCAATAAATATTTAATCCGCCGTAAAGCAAGAAATAGTAAACATTGTTGTATATTCATAGTCTTATACTTACTTATTTTTCAGCACTTCTAATTATTTCAATCCTCAATATTAACTCCATGATGTTAATAAAATGCGCATAGTTGAAATTTAAAATTATTTTTCTCTTTGAAATCGAAATCAGTAGAGAAAAAATGTTTTAGGTTGGTTTTTCGGCGTAAACCCAAACAACAAAAATAGTTTGCTAACATGCAAAGAGAACGAGAATTATCTTAAAAACGGATGTTACGGAATGGCTATCTATCGTTATTTGCCCATAGTATACTAACTTCAGCCGTTATATACTAGCATGACGCAATGATCATCGTTCATCGGAAAAGGATACTGTACATATATGTACGGTTTTTGGAATAGATCAGCTTAAGGTCCTACTCTTAAAAAAAATATTCTGCCTGCCAATATAAGCAAAATAATACCTATCAGGCATAATAGGATTACCCCGCTGATATTCAGAGTATCCAGCCACTTGAATGAACTTTGAACTAAATCAGCCCAGCCATTCTCGATTGATTAATTATTATAATAGCTTAAGCAACTCTCAGTTGAGATCCGCTTGTCGAGGAATCTTGAGCATTAAGCCGGCTACAAACGCATTTATGTCCCAGATGTTTTGTAGATGATGGGCGGACCTGAGTTTAACTTTACAATATCCCGGAAAAGCGCTCACCGTTTTTCGTTTTGCTATAGTGCACAATTTTTTCTCCTTTTTTTAGGTTATATGGGCATTATAAGTTTTACATAAGCCGCCCTTTATGTGGCCATCAATTCTTAGGATTAAGTTTCTAGTGTTATTTTCTGCACATTTTCCAATTTTTCAACATAGACAATATTAAAGAATGATTAGCAGTTCGAACCCCATGATAATCTTAAAATTGTAAAAAGATCGGTTTTGAATAACCTAAAGGGAAGTGTACAAAATGTTAGATCATGCTCTTAAAAAACTTTTCGAATAACTCCATTTTGACAGGAAGTTCAAATACTTCTTGCTGTGTTTTGATGGCGCCTTAAGAACTGATATCTCTAGATGATCGTTAATGGGATAGTTCAAGTTAGGGTATAAAAATATTACTATATTAAATTAAATTAAATTTTTCAGTATAATTTTGAATTTGTGTGTTTTGTAACTTTGTGTGCATACACTATATATTATGTATGCTGTGATTTGTTAAATATCCCTCAGGCATATATGTGTATTTATGTATATTCGTACCTATGTAAATTATAAAAATCATCATTATATCGAGAATTCAATAACAAAGCTCATTGCCACATATCCACTCACCATTATTAAACGAAAAATTTATATATGAAAGAGTTTTCTCAACTCAAAATATTAAAAGTCACACATATTAACTAAAATTCATCAAAATTTTATATTATATTATATTATTTTTGTTGTGTTGTGCAAGTCCACAAAATGGAAATTTATGGAAGAAGTAATTTTGTAAATTTTATTTCTGAAATATATGTATGTATGTTACATTTATATATTCACAATTAAAAAAATAATAATAATAACACAAAATCCCAAAATTGATTATAAAGAACTAAGAGAAACTAAAATCTTTTAAGTTACTCTATTTTATTCAAACAAAAACACGAAAAAGAAACTGAATCATGAAATAGTAATAATTAATCAGTTTCTATATGCCATCAACAAGCCAATCTACAACAATTATAATTCTTTGGTTTACAGTCGATTTCGTGAATGGCGATGCGAAGAGTCCCCAGCATACTGTGGTCCATCCAATGTACGTGAGTTACAGCAGCATACCGACCTCAGCCAGCGCTAGCGCTACATTGCTGTCAAATAAGCATCACAACAATCACCAAGAAGCACTTAACAACAATAACAGTAACAATAGTAATAATCAGCAACTGCAACTGCATCAGCAGCAGCAGCTTCATCATCAGCAACCTGAAAATTTTAACAGTAACACATTTCTAATACACACAAACACCGTCAACAACAACAGCCATAGCCATAGTAATAATCATACTCAGAGTCACAGTAATAGGCGCAGTCGAAGCCGCGGCAATAGCAACAACCAAAGTTGTAGCGGGGAATCGAAAAATACTGATGTCGGCGTCAGTAGTGGCCAGAGTCACTATCCCTATTTACGCGGAAACAGCACTATAACCCGAATACTCTATAGTCCGAAGAATAGTAATAAAATCGCTTCGTCTACGGGCAATACGATTGCACCGACAGACATTCTGCAACGACAACAATCGCTGCCTCACACTCATACGACCACTCTACAGAGTGCGCATTATTATGACGATAGCACTGCGAAGGCAGACCAATTGTATACGAATAGTAATCGAAGACAGTTCCTAAATGGAATCACATATCAGCAGCAGCAACATGCTGGCACAACAAACTCTTCGATGAACGACAATACCACATCCTCGCTTTCGTATGCATCGCTACAGAATTCCAATTTGAATTTAACACAGAGCTTGCGTGGAGTTGGCGGTGGACAAGGAAGTGGGTTCATCTACATGAGCGCGGGTAAAGGCTATGAGGGAGGCGGAGGTATTAGTGGAGGTGTGTGCGGTGTAGGTTCCAGCTCTGGAGGTGGTTTCGGACGTAGCTTTGGCCTGACCACCGCCTCCTCGCAAGCAACGCTCAGTCCGCTAAGCAACAGTCAGTTTAGTCTGACCAATAGTATTAATAATAATTATAGCAACCATAATGTTAACAACAACAACCACGTTGCATTAAATAACCTCACCAACTATACTATCAATAATAACAATAATAATGGTAGCATGGACAGCAGCATTGGTGGTGGACGTTTTGCACGCATCCATTCCAAACCGAAGCCACCAAAATCAACCAGTTATAGTAGCTTCATCAATAATGGCAGCGCCGCCACGAGCCTCACGACAGGCAATGTCAGTCCGGGTAGTTCCATGACAAATGTTAATCATTCCGATAAATACTCCCTAATGTCCAATGAGCGTTTGTCTCGCAATCTCGAGGAGGGTCTGGAGGACGACACATTTTCTTTGCAAAATTTTAGAACCGAAGACGGCACCACATATGTGCCCTTTCAAAAGCCCACGCCGGGTGCTGCGTTGTTTGTGGGACAAAACAATAAGAACAACAATCCTTCGTATGTGTCCTTAAATTCCTATGCGGTCGCACAGTTCTCTCCCAACAACAATAATAACAACGGTAGTTCAAATGCGCTTAACAGTAATAATAATTCTATGCCACATTTTGAACGCAATATTTCGCAGCCGGCGTCACCTCCGCTACGCCCTCAGCATGCAAGTGAAGGTGGAGGAGGTAACAGGGATGAGATACTTCTCGAGCGTGGTGCCATACTCCAACCAGCACACAACTACCAGACGCAAGCCCAACATTTATCAGGACCACCGCGAGGTGTGTCACAACATCAGCAGCCTCAGCCCCAGTCGATATTAAATCCTGCCAACCGTTTTCTCTATCAACAAAACGGCATGTCATTCCATCCAGCTTACAATAAGTCCATACCAGTGCCATCATCTAGCCACAAGAACACACACTCATCACCGTCCATACATGCGTCATATCATCATTTGATGATGAACCCTATCGGTAAACAACCGCCACGACCTACAAACATTCCATTACCCACCATACCCACACACACATTTGACACACCTGTTTCGCCCTCAGAGGTTACGCCTCCACCGCCGCCCACACCACGTCCACATATTTTTCAACCTCGTTCTGGCCATGCGCCCTACCCAGACCTGTCACCTGAGGTAACGGAGAAATATTCGATGCCTACGCAATATGTGCCGCGTTCGCCGGTTGCATCACGTATTGCGCGCCGTCAACGTCAGCTCCAACAACCACAAAATTACCAACACCACCATAACCGAATCGCACAGCCGACAACGCATCACGCAAACATTTCGTCGAATTTTTGCGACCAAGTGCGTGATGCGCCACCCGGCTATATTGTGGAAGCTGGCTTCAGCATTGTGCGCGCAAAAAGTTATGATCGCTTAGCGTCCGCGTCTTCTACTTCCGGCTCAGTGCGTCGGGAAGGCAAAGCAAGTGATGTGCACTCACAAGCACAAATAAATACCGAAGCAGCACCGCATGTAAATCGAAGGAGCGGGCGACGAGATATTGCAGGACGTGTGCGTCCGAGTTCCTATTGCAATTCCATGTCGGGTGGGGAGGGCGTAATACGTGGTAGCTTAGTTTACGAGTGTGACATTGTGGCCGAGAGCGGTGTTAATGGTTGCAGAGATTCCTGTGATGCAGGTGGTAGTAGTAGTGGTGTAGAGGCGAGCGGTAGAAATATTGGTGGTGATCAGTTGGCATAGGCAGAGACTGGTAAAGTGAATAGTACAGAGTGGGGAGCCCAAAAGGGGCGAAATCTTAAAGACCGTACAAGGTATTAAAATAAAAAGATTAAGACGCCAAGGAAAGGGAAGATATTTTTGAGATAATGTCAGAATTCACTTATTAAGCCAACTGAAAAGGGGAGCATAGTTTTTTATTAGAATTTTTGAAGATAAAGATCTGCAAAGCCAGGAATATTCATGGATATTGTTGTTTTTAACTCCCGAAGCCGTTATAGATTGCACTTACTGTCTCTCCAAAGTCACTGAGAACTGCCACTATTTCTATGGGAGCTTCTTATATTCCCAAAGGACATGTTAATATATTTTCATATCCGTCTTCACGCACTCAAAAGCTCTCACTATCACTGATAAAATCTCTCGACGCTTCTTCCGTCGTTTCCTTACGCTGTGTCTCTAAATTTTATCGTTTCATACTCAAATTTCATACCAAAAATTCATGCAATTTCGTATTAATGTAGAAAACAGTTTGTATCTCAGATTGATATGCTTTATTTCCTAATTTTGTTATTGTTTTTTTTTTTATTAATCTTTCGTTTTTTAGACTGGTAGACAATGATGGCTGAATTTTCTTATTACACTCATTTGCAACACTTCGTTGATTATATTGAAACTTTTATTAAGCTCGCTCATTAAAGTCAAAAGACTTCTCTTTCTCATCCTTCTCTACGGAAAAAGCTTTGCTTGTGCGCGTACTACACATATACACATATTATATATACTCGTGTATGAATGTTGTATGAGTTGATGTTGCTGTTGCCACTAAAGTGAAGTTGCTACAATAGAAAATATGTTGATTCCAAAACAGGCCGAAGAAAAGCAAAACAAAGATAAATGTATGTACTTACATAATCACCATGTGAATTTGTTCGCTTGAAGTTGAAAAGTTACAAAAATAATATCTTCTTTTCTAATAGCATGAATGATATTTGCAAAAAAAAAAAATGATAATTATAAAAAAACATTTCATGTTGTATACTAAAAATGGTATTAAAAAATATATAAACAAATTGTTTGCGAAATATTTGGTGTTGTTAGATTGTGTATTTTAAAAATATGTATTATGCTAACTAACTAAGGCAAAGGATGTACATTTATGTATATATTATATATATAAACATTATGATCAAGTTGTTTTAATTTTAAATATTATTATTTAATAATATGTATCTACATAATTACAAAGTATACGTACATACGTATGAGTATAAATATTGGGTATAATAATTGTTTTTAACGAACTGACAGGCCTTTACGAAACTAGAGCCACAAATGCGATTAGGTACATACGCATTTATATACAAGATGATATACTTAAACCTAAGCTTAAATTAAAATATAGTTTTAAGCCAAAACGACGGTGCAATCACCAGCTAGCACTAAAAGAGAGGGGAAAGAGTGAGTTTTGAGGGCAAGAAAGAGAAATGGAGACACTTTATATTTATACTTGCTATTTATTAGAGGAAAAAATGTTGAAAACGCTAGACAACGTTTGGAAAAGATAAGGAAAAAGGAAACGAATGAAACAAGAGAAAATGGATGGTGATAAGAAGAAATAAATTGAGATTGCTTTTAGGCTTTCTTTTCGGAAATGACCGAATTATCGAAATTGAAAATTTTTTTAGAAACTCATTTATTTAAGACTTAAAATAAAATTCACATACATATGTATATCACATTTTGATTAGTATATTTTTCCAAAATATATTTATCATACAAAACTAAAGCTTAAAAAGTTATAATTAAAAATTCATTGAGCTCTTTTAAGGAGTAAAAGAGTTATAGTATGAAAGTTCTTTTGGACAAGAAATTGAGATAATAAAGCTGCCTTAAAAATTAAATTTGCCTAGATTTGTTGATGCTCTTCTTCAGGTTCATTGAATAAATATTTATATATCCAAGAATAAAAACATTACAATTAAACGAAAAAATGTGTTGAGTCTTCTCACACGATTTGTGCTAGGAAAAAATTAAAATTAACATTTTTTTTAAATAATTTTTGTCGATCGATTTATGGTATCAAAAAACAACTAAGTGAATGAAGTTCTTTTAATTTCAACTGTGATAATATATAAAAGTTGGATTATATAAAACTAAAAATAAATTATTAATAAATGGCAAGGAGCAAAAACTATAATTATAAGAATAAAAATTAAAGAAGAAACTAACAGCAACAACAAGTTGTTTGAAAAAATAGCTACAAATAGATATTTTGCCTAGAAAGTAACTTACACTTAAGTTGCGAATGTTGTACATATATAAATGAAATCCAAATTTCATATATTTACAAAATTAACTTCACATTGTTATTTTGCAAACAGCAAAACAAAAAAACGAAATCTATTAAATAGGAAAAAATACTTAGGAAATAATAATAACTTGCAGTTGCCTTTTTGCATAACAATAACATTTGCTCGCAAAAAAAAAAATAAATAAGAAATATGTAATATATGATGTATATATATACACACATAAAAATTATATAGGATATAATAAAATTAAAACATAAACAAAATTCCTTGGAAATTATAAGCGAATAAAAAATATGTAGTTACCTACATTCCTCTACATTTAAGTAACGTATTACAACCGTTCACTTGCACTTTGCGTGACAGCCAAAACACCGTCTCTGTCTCTCTAAACTATAAATTATAAGTTAAATTAAATAAATGGATTGAAACTTCAAGATAAGTGTAAATAAACCTTTTAAAACATAGGAATACATGCTTAATCAATTTTTGTATATAAACTCAACTATTATAAAATATACATAAGAAATAAATAGTTGAAAGAGAATTTTAATTGTTAAAAATATTTGGGTTTAATATAATAGAACCGGAATGCAGTAGCAAAACTCAAAAATTTAATCTGTTATATAATAAGGGAGTGTCCATAAACAGAGTTTTCTTATGTAAGATCTTCCGGAATCCCTTCATCCTTTCCTCTAACCTCTTGCCTCTGCCAGATGGATCGTGTTTTTTTACACACTGCTTTCGTTTCCTACTACAAACATACTCATTAAAACAATATTTAATTTGATATTAGTAAAACACAATAAAATATACATATTTGAATAAGAACAAATTTTCAAATATATCACGCGACTTAATAAATATTTAGTAACTGCTCAGCTCTGCCCTCATCTCCTCCCTCGTATACGTGGTAACATATTTGTAAAGTAGCCCTTTTCTCTCTAGACCGATCTATGCTGTTTATGGACGCTCTCTTAGAAATAAATAAGTTTATTAAACTGGCTATCGTGCATAAAAAAAGAAATAAAAAAATTAATAGATAAAATAAAATTTTAAATTTAACCAGTAAGCATACATAAGTTAGATAAGAACTAGTGTTTCAAATAAATGTTTTTGCCTTTTTTCAATGCTATACCTGAAAAATAAGAAAGGTTTATGTTTTGTGTTATTGTTATCATCTGAATTTGATGCTGATTCGTCGACGAATTTAATAAATGCAATGATAATAAATATTAATTTTCTCTCATTCAGACAAACGAATTGTAGTTAAACCATTATTTGTTATATTTTTGGCAATTATTTTGAGGCATCTTTTGAAATGTAGGTTTCAGTCTTTTTTGTTTCTTTCACTATTGACAATCATGTTAATTTGTACATACTCGTATATTTCTTTTGATCGAGCAATACTTTTGATTAATAAAACAAGTATTAAAAGGTTCAAAGCGTGAGATTTTTGATTTTGATTTTTAGTTTTTAGTTAGCTATTCACAGGCGACCATCTTGTCGCAACCGTAGGGTTAATGAAAATTTTGGCAGTAATCACACAAAATCTGCATCCTCTTCAGATCGCCAGCTTCTACAATTAAACTTGATTGATTAATAAACAAATAAAAACAATAGGAAATTAACAATCGTTTGATTAAAACCTGACATATTTCGTTCTAACCAAACTAAAAGTGCATAGATTAATTGCACGTATAAAATTTTAATCAAATACAACAAACTTCTGTTCCTTTGCCCACTTTAGAAGATCCAATTAGCTTATTTTAGAGAAAATGACCTATTGCCTTCATTTGCAGGATATTTTTAGCACATAAGATCTATTATTTTTGGTTTGGGTATTTACTAGACATTTCATTTTAAATTGTATACTGATATAAATAATTTTATTATTCTTAGCTATCTAATATTATTACTTACCTAAATCTATAATCTGAACTATTTTTATTTTTTTTTATTTAAATTGTGCTAACCTGCATTTATTATTCAATTAATTTTTTCAAAAATATTTTGTTTTGGTGATTTGTGTTAATTAAAATGAAATATAGAATATTTAAGAAAACAATTAAGGTAGACACAACCAACTAACTTACAGGTAATTAAATGTATAAACATAGCATAACATAATCTCAAGAAATAAGACAGATATTAATTACCCCCCTTTTCTTCTTTTTCTCGCCTCACATTTCGCTTCTCAAATCGTCAGTAAGGCATGTTAACAAGAAGTCTAAACACCGTCAATCACTCTACTCCATCGAATTCGGTCCTAGCATCGATACGATACGCAGTCGTTCCGACACAATTCTTGACTACGACGATCACCTGCACAGCCGTAATGATGGCGGAGAATTGTCACCGAAGCCAATGACACCGCGTCGCGTTAAACGTCGCTCGGTGATGGCTCGCGGTAGCAACAGTCGCCAATCGTCTACCAGCCGACGTAGCCATCATGGGCGTGAACGGAGTGAAAGCGGAACACATCCGCGTAATAGCACACGTGGCTCGCGAAGGAAATATCAACAGAATCCCGTCACTAAACTTCTGGACCAGCAACAATTACAGTTACAACAACAGCATCATCATCACCACCACCATCAGCACGTTGTTGGTTCGCATAACCAACCCCCTAAACAGCAGTTGGGCTCATTCCAACAGAAAGAGACACCAGCACAACTAACCGCGTCGAATTTACAGACTCTGAATCAGGAAATTATAAATAACACCAATATCAATGTCATAGAGGGGGCGATTGCTGAATCCGGCGATGGCGGACTGAATAACATTATGTTGGGTGGAAACGGCAGCCTCACAAAATCGAGTAATAATCACTATCATAGCTTCCCCAAAAATATACCACCAGACCCGATTTACTACAACACAAATGCGCAGACGGGACTCTTTCAGCAGACATGGCAGTCGAACTCGCAATCTCCTATTGTGGGCGATGAGCCGCACGCAACGCGGACAATGACACCCACATTGGCAGGTCACTTCAATCCCACCTACCAGCATTCGACGACGAACCTCAACGATGTGGAACACACTGACGAGCTCTACAACAATCGCCCGCCTTCGGTGCGTTCGAGTTACTCAAACTTCCATGGCACGCGCCCGGTATCTTCTTACATATCTAACTCCGGCACAACGGAGAATGTGTTTGTCGGCCTCACTGGGTCTGCTCAAGCGCAGTCTATAGTTCAGCAGCCTCAGCAGCAAGCACAACAACAACAACTAAACAACTTGCCAATTCCACCATCTCTCCCACCACACGTAGCACCAGCCACACCGCCTTTATATCAAACTAATCCTTTACAGCAGCACTTGCTTTCAACGGGCCAACAACATATCCCACCTTTGTCTTCGCCGAAATTTCCCAGTTCACAGCCTCAGAACATACCTTTCGGTAAGCGGACAGCGTCGAGGGAAAGTATAAGATCTATGGCATTCTTGAATAGCGGACCGCCGGCCTACAACCTGAACTATCATACGCCTCCAGACTCAGAGACGACTATGTAATTTTTAAAGTAATAAATTCATGTGAAGAATCAAAGTAGTTGGTAAAAAAAACCGTCCACGAAAACTAAAAACTTTAAAATCTTAAAATTCATTGTTCACACTTTATTAAAACTTGATTTCATAGCTTTCAATGCTTCCCCAAGTCGAAAGGTTTTACAACAAACACATATTTGCTACCTCTGTGTAAATACCCATGCAGTCGCTTTTTAGCTATACTATTTATTTAAAGATACTTCAAAAAAATTGTATTAACTTTTTATACCAATGAATTTGGGAAGAAAATTTATATGGAATAGCTAAGGTAACTGGGAAATTAAATAAATTCAATTATGTAAGTAGTATAGGGTCGCTTAGCTTTGATTTTATGAAAACTTGGTTTATTTGAATACTTAAGTAAATATTCCGCTTTTTTCGAAACAAACATTCATTCATTTTATTTTCGAAGCAACAAGCGAAATGCAGTTGTTTTTTTTTACCAATAAATGCCTTTTTTACTGAGCTTATGAATGCTCGAATTTGAAGAATTTGATCTCAAAAATTATTTCCTGTAAGTCAATAAATAATTTTTGACATTTTTTTATAATAATAAAGTGTTTTTAGAGTGAATTACGTGTAAATCTATAATCAAAACTATATGCAAATATAAGATAACTACTTAATAAACTTTTTATTGTTTCGGCTATAATCGCGTAAGGGTGTGATAAATTTTCATCAAACATGGTTAACTTCCTT